CGCGCGGTGCACACCTCGCCCGGGGGAGGACGCAGAGCCGGGCAGGCGGCCGGGATGTCGGCGAAGGAGAGGCCAAAGGGCAAAGTGATCAAGGACAGCGTCACCCTCCTGCCCTGTTTTTATTTCGTGGAGGTGAGTTGGTGCAGGGCCCTGGCATAATGCAGATCTTTCCGTACAGCTCCGGAGAGATTTTGGGTCCTGGGTAAGATTGGTGAGCACACCGGAGGGAGCACCAGAACGTATTCTGCTGCTATCCCCAAATGCTGGACCCTCTCCTTTTCCCCCTACAGGTTTCTCTCCAGACCTCCCCTGAGTCTGCCTGTGGACACCTGCCAGCACCAGCTGGTTATTACTAGGGATGGCTTGCTGGGTGGCCTTAAGAAAGGGATACCTGTGAGAGTATAGGTCTAGTTTTGGCCCTGTAGCCCCAGTGTGCACAGCGTCCATAAGTGCTGCACAAGGGCCATGATGCCTATATTTTGGAATTAGTGATTTTCAATTTGTTGATGGTATCAATATGGTATCTAGATAGTATCTAGAACTCTTTAAGCTTTTGGTGGGGATTCAAATACATACAGCTTTGCTTGGACTGAAGGACCAGAGATGTTTATGTGGTTTTAGGATTACTGGTGGTATCTATTAACCCTGCCAAACCCTTCTCCTACTATGGTTGCTATGGTACTTCATCTGTTTCTAAAATTGGGTCATTTCTAGATGTCAATCATCAATTTACTGGCCTTTTGCCATGGGTTGTGTGGGTGTGTGTGTGCATGGACATATATTCGTATATATTTATACAACACAGTATATATGCATACAAAAACGTGTGAATATGTGTTTTAAATGTATGACATCATCTGAGTTCACAGATCAGATTTGTATCTGTGCTTTTACTCTGACCTGAGCACTATTACAGCTAAGAAATTAACGTGGGGTTGTACTCAAAATGAACCTCTCTGACTTACCTAATGCAGCATTTGAGGGAGGAACAGTTATGGGAGGGGTGTAAAGATTGACAGGTACAGGATTCCATGTACTGTGATCCATTGCATTCGGAAGACATTTTTAAGCAAGGGAGTTATTAAATTACAAGTGGAGAAGGGGATGTACTGCATACATTTAGGAAAAATCTAATAGTTTTAAGGGTAAAACTGTGCTCCTTGTAATTACATCTCAGGCTGAATAGAGAATTTTGAAACTATTGCTGCATTATAAACAGTCTTCCTCTGTTGTCTTTTCAGCCTAACATGGAGGTTCCCATTTCTAAGTACAGATAACAGACTCTGTATTTGATGACTGAGAGGCTTGTCTGATTGGGCAAGAGCCACTGTCTTGAAACTTGGAGAAGAAATATTGTATGAAGCCTGTCCTTAGGGATAACTATATATCTGGAAGTTTCTTTTATGTGTCATATTTTTTGAAGATTCCAGTGTTAAGAGAGGTGTATGTGTCCTGCATAAGTTTCAGAGAAATGACCTGCGACCCCTTTGTCTAGGACCTATGGAAAAGAAGCAGAGAAAGGGACAGAGAGAGAGAGAGAGAGAGAGAGAGAGAGAGAGAGAGAGCCCTGTTTGCTTAAAATCATTGTTTGATTTATTGTCCTTCTTTTTACAAGGAATCTTGAAGCTATTACTTGGGTGATTGAAAACTGTGGGCCCAGAAGATTCCATGAACAGAATAAAGGAGTAGGAAACCAGGCTACCTGCCTTCCAGACCAGTGGCTAGACTTCTTGTGGCATTGCTAACCCATTTAGTGGTGTTTCTTGCTAAAGAGCTTTTAATCATGTCTAAATTTATTATATTTATTGGGAAGAAATTAGTTAATTGTTGGGTCTGTCTCTAGGAGACACTCACTTAAGAGGCCCTGGAAACTGACTACACTAGAACATAGATGTATGGCTTTCAGCAACACTTTCTGAATGAGGGTACAAGCCAAAAAAAACCTTATTTGTTCCCCTTAAATAATAGAAATACAGACTTTTGAGGAAACTTTTAAGGAATACATATAATTCGTGGGAATAGTGTCTCTGAGAACAACTATCTTACAAATATTATGTATTTTCCAGGAGTAGAAATCATTACTTTCACTTTAACTTATCTTGACACCCTCCATGAATTCCTTAGCTGGACAAGTTATGGAAAGATCACTTGAAGACAGTTGTTGAATTTACTTTTTGTATCCATTTTCTTGTTTTGCTTTTTGTGTTTTGAAATGGGATTCCATGGAGCCCAAGCTGGTTTCAAACTAACTAGTAGCAAGATGGGTCTTGAATTCCTGACCCTTCTGTCTCTCTACTTCCACATACTGGCATGTACCACTGTGCTTGCCTCATGGAGTTTAATTGAGCATCTATAGCACTATATTTGGGAATAATAGACTTCTAATGGAGAGCTACAAATTTGCATTGCAATTATCTCCCTTAACCTTAAATGCATGATGAACCTCCAAAGAGACTGCAGAAGATGGGAAAAAGCATCAGTCTTCCAACTATTTAGGAGTTGGCAAGAAGCACTGCCCAGCTCCTTAGAAATGACTAATTTTGAAACTAGTGGGATGAATCTTTGCAAGATGAGTCCCCTTGTTGTGAGATGAATAAACAGAGCCTGAATTAACATGTCAATAAAAACCACTAGGAGAATGGCACTTGGCCTTGGAGCATAGTTTCCCAGGATCCCAGGGATTAAGATAGATTGGCAAAATACAAGTAAATCTCCTCCCATCACATATCAGGCCCAGAGCCTAGATATCATAATTGAAGTAACAAAACGTGTATGAAAGGGTCAGTATTTGGGGTAGAGGAAGTATGAGAGTCGTGTGATGGTGGGGACAAAGCTGCCATTCTTCAAGACATTTGACCACTTTAGATTACAATACCCATGGGATACAAAATACAAAATAACTTAGTTGGGAAATTTTTGGCTTGGATCAGAGAGTGTTAAAATCAACTTAGATGCAATTCTGGCATGAAAATAGCAACATTTTGGTTGATTGGGAACAAAGTGGACCTTAAAGATAGATTGACCTGGTTCAAACATCACTGGTGTTATGTAGTGGATAACTTTGACTATGTTTGCTCTCTCATTCCACATTTCTTTTAATGTGATAAAAACCATGTAGATGCAATATTAGTACACATATATTCACTTATAATAGAAAATAAGATACTTATTTCTTAGCTACACAGTATACTCTGGTTAAAGCATCAGGCCTGTGTTAAGGTGGGTACATTGTCCTGATTCATTTACTCTCTGATGATTGCCCTTGGCCTTTCTCTCACTGAAAGGCTAGACAAGATCTAATTCATTAGTTCACACTGTTCCCCAAAAGCCATCTTTTCCCAAGTTTCTAGAAGAGGTTTGAGTTTCATGAGTTCTCTGGAATCAATCTGCAGTATTGGTCATGGATAGGGGCAGTGGAGTGCTCAATTTTGTATGGGAAATATGATCATTATTTATAAAGCCTTTAGAAAAGGTTGCACCTTCTTGGTCAGTCTTCAGTGGTTTTGTTTTAGAAAGAAGCCAATGAGCCAGTGCCATGGCTCAAGCCCAGTGACCTGACTTCAATCCCTGGCACCCACATGGTAGAATGGTTAGAAGGAGAGGATAGGCTCATTCTCACATGTTGCCCTTTAATCTCTATAACATAATATGTGCCATGTATACATACTTCATACATACATACACACAAAATTAATAAATTAATTTTAAATGAAAGAGATCATTGTTATCTAGATTTTTTAAAAGAAATAGAAAAAATAACATAATCAAGTTTACAAAGCAAAGGTTGAGGCACAGTGGGTACCAATTCAGACTTTATTTCACCTTCACCAACACTGGAGCGCTCCACTTACTGAAAAAATACACATACAGACACAGTTACTCCCTCTGCTTCCTCTCTATTAGCACCAATAAGGCACTTGGGAGGCTAGGGTGGCATGATCACTTGGGTTCAGGAGTCTGAAGCCAGACTGAGCAACATTTTTAAGACTCTGGCTTAGAAGGAAAACAGCAGATAAACAAGCAGCAGCAAAACAGGAAGATGTGGGAAGAGATTGTCAGAAGGAAAGATCTCTCTGGAGGAAGACATGCTTCCTGAGCTCAGTAGTCCTCAGCTGGAAGACACTCAGCAAAAGGCTTAGCAGACAGAGGCCAATCCCCACTCTCTGTCACTAGGCAGCAGCTAGTGTCCCCAGAATAGACAAGGAGCAGGAATGCCCCAGCCCACTTACTCTGGCAAAGTACCTTTATAATGCTGTGGACATAAGCCACAGCTTTCTGCTTCTAAGTACAAGTAATGCTGTCCTTGTTTATCACCATAGTGAACAGTGAGTCAATGGGCAGAATGTGTCCTCTTTTATCTTTGGTTTAGTGGAGAAAGAAGTTCATGGTTGACAGTAGTATCTTGCAAAACAACATGGCTTCTAGAATAGCACCCTACTTTGTGGGTAAGTTGGATAATTCAGTTTTTTTGTGTTCAGTCTGAGAAAAAAGGTCAGCTGTGGAGAGACTCACACACAAGCATATATCCAAGGCAGCCTTATTTTAAACCAATCATAGGCCAAAATTTCCTTTAATTTTCATTGGCAAAGCCCTCTCCAACTGATAGGTCTATGTTGGTAATTGCAGCTTCGAGCATAGGTATTATTAGCCAAAGTCTTTGGGGGCTTAATCACCCAGAGTTACATTCATTCAATGACACTTGTAGACTGGTTACATTCCCTTTATGCTAAGCACTATAGCAATCCCCCTGTGCTCAGACTCATATTTTTTCTCGTTAGTCACACTGCTCAAAGATCATTCAATCTGTAATGTAAACACATGATAAATGATTTGTGATGTCTGCCAAATGGAAATCCCGAAAGTGAAATAATTGGGTCACTGATTTCTTTTTATTTAAATGTTGTTCAACTTTGTAGCATACTTTCCAGTCTCTGAGATAATGTTTCCCTGTGGAAGTGGAAGAAATTGTATATTCACATGCTTGAAATATTTTGTTTCATGTAAATACATATACATGCTCAAAACTCTGCACACAGATGCATATAAACACTGAAGGTGTAAGAAAATCATATTTTTCCACTTGGCATATAAAACAGAACCAGAAATATTATGTAACCACAGTATTTTAACCT